ATGCCTAATGCAAACATGCAAAAGCTGCAACTAGCAAGGCTCGGCTATTCTAGACATGGCATTGAAATGCTACGCTAACATGTATCAACTTGGAAATTGAAATGCAATTGCAGTTAGTATCGATGCGCCGAGCCCAGGTGCATGCAAGACAGATGAATGAATGCAAACATGCTATCATACTGTATGCTAAATTGAAAATATGTCCTAATCTAACCATCATAAGTTGGTAAATAAAAGGGAGAAAGACGTGGGGTTGGAAGACATACATCACACACACGCACACTTATTACAATTATGCCCTCGCACAGAGGGTCCGAAAGAATAATATACAGTCCCAAATAAATAAATAATGCAGTCCCAATAAATACAAAAATCCTAATTAATTTACAAATTAATCTAGGAAAGCTATAAGCCGACATGCAAGCCAGGGACTGCCTTGACTCTGATGAATGATGTATGTTTGGGCTGCCTTGCGCGGAAATCCACTGGGATGCCCCAATTAGCCTCTGTGTTTGCAATTATTCTTGGAAAGCGCGCCAAGCTCCAGAAGGTTGCTAATTCTTTATTTGCTGCAACAGAGAGCAGGAAAGGGGCATAGTAGTGTATTTTCACATATGTATGCATATCTCGATCCTCGTGCCACCAATCACGCATCTCGATGCATGATGACCGAGGGGTCGGTTTGCATGACTCAATATGAAATGAATGCACATGAAAACTCAACTAAAACCTAACTCCATCATGGATAATCCGGAGTGTCGGTGACTGGGGAATTGAGACACGTTCCGTCACTCGGAGTACGAAACGTACCACGTTTCCCGTGCTCGGGCTAACTCCTATCCCAAGCACAATGCAATATGCATGACATGCATGAATGTAACTAATATACAACCTAACATGCACAACGCTATGAAATGGCATACACGATGCACGAGATAATATGGCATACACAATGCGCTAACATACGGCCTAGCATACACAATGCTATGAAATGAAATGGCATACACAATGCATAAATGGACTTACACTAACACAAGTGGACCTCAGCCACACTCACATAAGAGGCCATTAGATGAAAATGAGATACTCGAAATGCGTGCACACGTGCACGCAAACCGAGGACCGACCCTAAGGCACCAAATGCCACTCTAACAAGACATGGCAAGGCATGAAATATGATATGCTAGCATGCAAATTTCAGCACTAAAATGTGACCCAAAACAGTCCCGAATCATGACAATAGAGCACCCGATGCATGAAATGGTCCCGAAATGCAAGATTAAGCACATGAAATGACTTGTAGCTATATCAAGCATGCATTATTAGATCATGACATGTGAATAAAAATTCAAGGCAGCCCCAAGAAAAGCATGTTTACAGTTTTAAGCAAGGCCAAACAACAAACGCAAATGGGGCTAAGCTAGCATGCAAAAATGGCCCTACATGTGCGATAAAGAAGCAAGTCATGGCTGCAGGCCTCAAACAGATGAGGGCCCTTCAACAATGTTGAATAGGGGCCCAAAATGTGATATTTTACAGTTTAAAATAAACCACAAAAACCAACACAGGTATGGCTAAGCTCTCATGCAAGAAATGGGCCAAAAGAGGGACGAAGAAGCAAGTGGTGGTTTCTGGCCTTAAACACAAAGGGGCCCTTCAACAATGTTGAAGAGGGGCCCAAAATATTGCACTTTACAGTTGATGGCCAAACCCAAAAAAGTATGCATGCAAGCCTAAAGTACCATGCAAAACAAGGCCAAAAAGAGAGCTATAACACAAAGTATATAAAAGATGCCTCAAAAAGTGAAAGACCCTTAATGAAACATGAAGAGAGGGTCAAAATAAGGCTTTTTTAAGTTCGGACCAGAGTCCAAAAACAGAAGCAAAAGAGGCTAACAAATCATGCAAATATATGGCCAAATGAGAGATATAAAGGCAAGTGATAAATAGAAGCCTCAAACAACAATGAGCCCTTCAAAAATGTTGAACAAGGGCCCAAAATAAGCCACTTCTTAGTTCATGACAGAGCTCAAAACAGTTTATACATGGGCCAAAAATACTACACCAGAAAATGGCATACAAGGGAGATAATGAAGCAAGTGCAACAAGGAGGCCTCAAACAGTGAGAGGCCCTTAAAAAAAAGTGAAAAGGAGCTCAAAATAAGCCTAGTTCCAGTTAGGGTCGGAGCCCAAAACAGCAAGCAAGTATGGCTTAGAAAGGATGCAAAATATGGAGCAAAAAGAGGGAAATAGAGCTTACCCTTGTAGACCAATCTTTTGGAAACTCTTGGCTTGCGTTGCAGCACTCCTAGGCCTTGAAGAACAACCTCCAGCTGCTGGAATGGATGATGGAAGGGTGGAGCTATGGGTTGGTGAAGAAATGAGTGTAGGACTTAAGGGTTTGAAGCTTGGAAGAGAGGGAGAAGAAGGTGTATGTATGCCAAGCTCTTAGGGCAATTTTGTAACCCTAATAACAGAGCTGGAGCCCCTGTTATATAGGCAAAAAGGGGGGGAAAATGGGGGAAAAATGGAGGGAAAACAATCCAAGTTTCCCTCCAAAAAAGCACCCCCCCGGATACACAATCTGGGGGAAAAAGATATGCATATTTGGAATGTGCCTGCAGCAAGGAGCATGGCCGGCCAGTTATCTAGGGTTTAGGTGGCCGGCCGGCTACCTCCCATGGTCGGCCGGCCAAGGGTCAAAACGGTCAAGGAGAATTAATGGCCGGCCACCACAGAAAGAGGGCCTCCCATGTGTGCACAACACAGCCCTGCAGTCAAAAACTGGAGAAAGTGAACCAGGAGAGAGAACAACCCACTTTTAGGAGGGGTTCAAAAGGGTCAAAAGGAATTACTGGCCGGCCACCAAATATTGGTGGCCTCCCAGATGTGTACATCACAAATATGGGGTTTAGGGTGCAGGAAAATGGCCCAAGGGTGGTCAACATTGGCTTTGAAGTGAGGAAAAACAAGCGACGGAGGGCGATGAAGGGATAAAGTTGGCTGACAGAACAATTACAGGCCTCCCACCCTTCTACGGCCTTCTTACCAATGAAACAGAGGTCTGATTTTTTTATTTTTTTTTTATTTTTTGTATTTAAAGAATTTTTCAGAAATTGAGTGAATCTAAACTAAAATATTTTTAAAAATCACTAAAAACAAAAAAAATACAAATTGAAAACTCAAAATTTGTTTTTGAAAACTCTAAAACCAAACAGAGATGTCTCATAATTTAAATTTTCTAAATAACAAACAAATTTTTTTTGGGCTATATTGATAATATTATTTCAACAAAAAAAAAAAAAAAAAAAAAAAAAAGAAAATTTGAATCACCAACTCTAACATACACACACACACACACACACACATACATATATATATATATATATATATATAAACCTACAAATTACATATATATATATATATATAATTTGTATATATATATGTATATATTCTTAAAATCTGTAGCTAAGATGTCCACAATACTTCTTTCATGGAATCTCAAAATTTTAAGGCTGAATGACCCCAAATTTTTTGTAACATTTCTAATTGCCTCTCATCTGCAATCTCCATGGTTTTGACTATGGTATTAGTAATCATTCATGTAGTATAAGGGAAGGAAAATCAGGAAAGAGATAAAATGGTTAGCAATGAAGCAGGGTAAGGATATGGAAGCAAAGGAGACAATGGATGGATTTTACTAAAGAAAGATGAATGAAAGGGATCGAATGTGCAGTAAGCTACAAAAGAAGAAGAGAAAATGAGGAAAAGAAAAAAAAATGAAAGGCTACTAATGGCTGGGATAAATGGAGTAGAGAGAGAAATAATTGAATGTCATGGTTTATAAATTTGAAGATGTGCTAGGGGCATTTTCATCTTAAAAATAGTTTTACTCTCCTTATAAGCACGTGACTCTCACATTGTGTTATCTTGAACAGAAAAACTAACTGTGCGTTTTATTCCACAAATCACATGGGGGTTATGTGGTGATTTCCAAATGTCAGTGGGGTAATCCGCACATGGTCCAAACCACAAGCGAGGAAAGTGAAGTTTGCCCTATAATTTATTGAGATACATTGACTTACCTTCTAATCTAACTATTATCACGTTAACATTTCACCTTGTGGAAAAAATAAAATAAAATAAAATTTCCTCTAAGCTTAAAATTAAAAACTATTTGGTTGTGTTTTCATTTTTTTTTTCCACAAACAAATATAATTTATTTTGCAAACTATTTCCAAAAAAAATTTAGGGAAAAATTTGTGAAAATAACCCACTTTTTAGGAAATTCAAAAAAGTCAATTTCGCACAAATAATGAAAATGATGAGTTTTTTTCTCATTATTTTTATTTATGAAAAACAAAACTACTAAAACAAAAAACACTAAAATAGAACTAAATAGGCTAGATAATCTTGGATTTCAAATACTCCAAACAATCCATCCTCCATTCATTGTACCTCAATGGCAGATTATAAATACGATCTAAACAACTCTTCTTGCTATACACACTTAAACTATAAATCCTAGGTAGATTAAAATGCTAAATTTTATGCTTGAAAACTAAAAGGACAAGGACTATTAAATACAAAATAATAAAACTAATAACATAGTAAAGTTATGATAATATATATTTTGAGCCATCATGGATGGTAGTATCCAAAAGTATTTGCTTCTTGCTTTGTATTATATCAAACAAATATGGTTTCAAGCTTTTGTAGGGGAACTTGTGAGTGAAAAGAGAGATTCAGAGCCCTTTATAAAGCTTTCTGGGTTTATTCCATCAATGAATTTTGTTTAACAAAGGATTTGTTATCTCTCCTTCATTTAATTAAGTTTATGTGTATATACAATATAATGGTTGACACTCTTTAATTAAATGCACAAATGTAATACATTTTTAAATTGTCTTTTAGTGATCATGTGAATGTTTTTTAAACTTTCAAATGCCATTTTTATAGTTCTATGGATTATTTTAATGTGGTCATTAATGCCACTAACATACATAAACCTTTTGATTTGGTCATTAAGACCACATGAATCTAACATAAAATTCACACTTAGATCAAGTTATTATACTATTTGTTTAGTAATGGAATGTGCAACTGCTTTAGCTAAAGCCATCATGTAGTTAGGATCTTTGGTTAATGTTTCAGCATATTCTTCAACTCTTTTGCAGGTGTCTTCATTTTTGGTGTCTGTAGCTAAATTTTGAGTAAGATCTATAGTTGACCGAAAAAGATTAGCTGAGACCAGACTATGATCCGGTGAAGAAGAGAAATCCACAGCTGTGCTGTAATGAACTCCATGGCTATGTTCTCCTTCATAAGTTACCATTAGGATGGACTCATCCTCCACGCTTCTTTGCACCTAAAACCAAGAATAAAAAGAAGCATTCAATTTTAAGAATAAAAAGAAGCATTCAATTTAGAATAAAACACTTATTAATTACAACTATGTCAATTTATATAGTTGATGATTGTAATTATTTAGCTGAAATACGCACTATTAACTTTTTTATAATTTTTTAACTTTTGCAAAAAATCATCTAAACCAAGAAAACAAAGGTTTGGGCTTGAAAGAAACATGCAACAAATTAAGAAATCCAAACAAAACTTTACTTCTTACTAATGGATTACTAGCACTTTTTTTTTTTTTTTGATCAGCAAAGAAAATCCTTTATTGATGAAGAAAACATACATTACATATGAGATAACATCAACAAGGAAGAGAAAGAAAAAAAGGACAAGAAAAGAAACCGAGCATAGTGTTGGTGAGAAACCAACACTAGCTGACAAGACCACAAACACTTGAAGCCAAAACCCAAAAACTAGCTAACAAAGCTTATACCCACTGAAAACTCCAGCTAAGCTTACTTGAAGTCATCCTTCAACCTTTTAAGACCAAACCCTGCTATTTGGATCTCTCTTTGTCCTTTAACTTTAGCTCAATAATCTTGTTTAGCACATCATCTTCTTTCCCATTGAAATTGATGCCAAGAGATTACTAGATATATAGATATCTATATTAAAACCATATATATATATGGTTTTAATATGTATATATATAGATATATAGAATCTATATTAAATTATAAAGAGAGCACTTTAGTTAGTGTTGAGAAAAAAATGAGGCTATATAATGTTAGTTTTCATACCAAAATTATACAAATAAACATATTCTTACAATTGCTTAAACTATTCACATTAGTAATTGTTTGGACAAAAATAAGAAACCCACCTCTCTAAATTCAACCTCACTAAAACCACCTCTCTCAATACTTTCTTTTGTACATATATGTGTGTGGAGCCACTTTAATATATATATATACAGAGTGAGTGAGAGAACTGTCAATTTTTGTTGGTTCATGAAAGTTGGAAGGATAATGGTTAAGGGTGTAATTTTGGCCCAGGCCGGCCCATCCAGGCTCGGGCCCAGCCCGGGCCGACCCATATCGGGCCTTACGGACTCCCGCCAAAAATCGGGCTGGGCTGGGCCGACCCACGGGCCAAACAATGAGGCCCAGGCCCAGGGGTATTCGAGCTTTGGGCGGGCCAGTGGGCTGGGCCCTTGGCTTAGACCTGGGCTCGGGCTTTGGACGGGCCTAAACAATTTTTAATATTTTTTTTAAAATTTTTCCACCAAAATTTTATTATTTTCCATTAAAAATAACACTGGGCCTCGAGTGAGTTGGGCGGGCCGCGCTTTTGGGCAGTCCTTGAGCCGGCCGATGGGCCGGCCCGAGCTTCAAAATGATGGCCCAGGCCCTAGCCAAAGGCCTCGGGCCACGATGGTCGAAGATAAATCTTCTAGTAAATTTGGGCAGTTGAAAAACTTGATGATACTAACAATTTTGGCATGTAGTAGTGTGAGGTATTGGCATGTGGCCTAAAGGTATGGAAAAAAAAGTTTGGGACAAGATTAACAGTTAGGCTTATGAACCAGGTTGTGCCTTGCAAAAGATCAGAAAGTATTTTGCTATGCGAGACATGAAGACCAGAGATTTGTGGAAATGTTTCCGGGCAAGTTTATGACCAAAAGTGTATAGAATTATCTCTACTTAAGGAAGAAACTCTTTCATTTTTTGTATCATGATGGTTAATCTATGTTTAATCACATTCATGATTCTAATAAAATACTTACTGATCTTTTGAATTTGGATTTGAAATTGAAGATGATAAATCTCTTTTGTTGTTGAAACCTCTTGTCAATACATATGATCATTTTATCACCACTATATTGTATGACAAAGATAAAATTTGTTATGAGAATTTGTTATTTTGATTAACAATGAGTAGACAAAGAAAAATAGATAGACCCACAATGACACATCTAGTGAAGCTTTGAAATTATAATTAGAGTCAAGATCAAGAAAAGATAAGCTAATAAGAGACAAGCATTAGATCCCGTTCAAAATTAGTGGGAGCTTCAATTGATGGATTGAATCTCACGAATAATGGGTATGCGTATTATCACAACAAAGGGCATTGGAAGACATAGTTTGTTTTTGAAGAACAATTAATTCTAATGTCGATGTAGCACAAGATGACTCTAATGATTCTGAGTGCATTATTGGGTTCATCATTGTTTGTCACTCTAATAAGTGATTTTTAGAGTCTGGTTGTACCTACCATGTGTCCCAATATGGACTGATTTTCCAACTTTGAGGAGTTGGATGGTGATATAGTCTTTATGGGCAATGATCATACATGTAAGACTTTGGGGATAGGTGACATAAAATTGAGTTGCATGATAGAACCATTCAAGCGTTTCAGAAGTATTAGACTTGAGTGAGAGTCTCATCTCTCTAGGTACTTTAGAGTATGAATATTACATGATCATCATGAAAAAAAAAGGACTCTAAAGGCTGTGTTGGGTGCTTTGGTTGTGATAAAAGCTTTTCAGTAAAGCAACTTGTTTTTTTTTTTTCAAGAGAGTATGATTGTAAGTGGAGCTAACCCCATTGTTAGTTTCGAAAAAGTTGATTCAAGCACCTCCAAATTGTCACACATGTATTTGTTTGTTAAAGAAACTTCAAGGAATTTTCCAAAATTTATTGGAGGGTGTAAAGATATGCAAACTTATCTTGGTACATGCAACAGGGAAGCATTGGGAAAAATGTACACATGTGCGACCATGTGCATTTAGACTTGGGTCTTTGATGGTTGCTTCTCGTGAAGTTAGTTTTGGTTCGGTAGATAGCATTAGGGTTAAGTTCCAATGTGGTTTGGATTTAATTTGTTTGGTTTGTTGAAGAAAATGTAAATCAGTTTCTTTATTGATTTAATGAATTGAATACAAACAGCTCAAGATATTATATACAGTAGTGTTATAACCAACTCACTAACAAACAACTCTAACTACCTAACAAACTTTCCAACTATTACAGATATTATTTTGAGAACCACTATCAAAACATGACTGTGATATATGAGATCTCAATGCTGAATTCTCCTTTGGCTGTGGCAACTGAGGTTGTGAGTTAGGCTTCAGCTTTAGCTCTAACTGGTTTAGCTTAGATTCATTTAGAATCTTATTAGCCCCCTGCAAGCTAATGGGGCAAGGCAACACGAGATGCTTGTTCTTCACATAATGAAAACGAGAGGTAGGAAGAGGTTTGGTAAAGATGTCTACCACCTGGTCTATGGTAGGCACATACTTCAAATCAACAAGTTTGGCAACAACCTTATCTCGAATAAAATGGTAATTTATTTCAATATGCTTAGAACGACAATGAAAAACAAGATTAGAAGCTAAGGCCATAGAAGAGAGGTTGTCACACCAGAGCTCAGGAATGGAAAAAGAATTGATATGCATGTCTTTAAGTAACTGTTGCAACCAAGTTAATTTTGCAATGGCATTAGCCAAAGCCGTGTACTCAGCCTCAGTGGATGATCTAGAAACAATGAACTATTTCTTAGCACTCCAAGAAATCAGATTGGGACCCAAATAGACACAATAACCAAAAGTGGATTTTCTATCAAGATTATCTCCAGCCTAGTTTGAATTAGAAAAAGCATGAAGAGAAAATGGACCAGCAGTAAATTGAAGGCCATGATGAAGAGTACCTTTCACATATCTCAACAGTTTTTTTACTACTTGAAAATCAGCATTAATAGGAAGATGTATATTTGGCATTCCTGTTTAATAGCTAAGGCTAAGTCAGGCCCGGTAATGGTAAGATACTACAAGCCACCAACAAGGCTCTTATACAAAGAAGGGTTGGAAAAGGGAAGATCATCTGAAGAAGAAGTAGAAGCTTTGATAGCTAAAGGGGTAGAGCAAGGTTTGCAATCAGTCAAACAAGCCTTGTGAAGGAGTTCAGTTGCATGTACTTAGCTTGAGACAAGAAATAACCATGAGGCAAGGTTTGAACTCAGATCCCTAAGAAATAGGACATAGTACCTAGTTCCTTCGTAGAGAACACAGTATGCATGTGTTGAATAAACTGAGTAAGAAGAGAGGGATCACAGCCAGTGACCAAGATATCATCAACATAGACTACAAGAATGAAAAGACTTGTGGAAGTATACTGAACAAAGAGAGAATAGTTTGAGTGGCTCTTAACAAAGCCTTAAGAGAGAAGAAACTTAGAGAAAGTGGAATACCAAGCTCGAAGAGCTTGTTTAAGTCCATATAAGGCTTTCTTAAGACTGCACACTTGGTGAGAAGATTGAACAAAACCTAGGGGCTGCAGCATATACACTTTTTCATCTAATGTTCCATAAAGAAAGGCATTAAAAATGTCTAATTGATGAATAGGCCAGTGAAAATGAAGAGCCAAACAAAAGAAGATGCGAATGGTATGTTGCTTAGCCACTGGGCTAAAGGTTTCATGAAAGTCAACTACCATGAAGAAAATGTAAATTAGTTTGATTTAATGAATTGAATTCAAACAGCTTAAGATATTATATGCAATAGTGCTCTAACCAACTCACTAACAAACAACTCTAACTGCCTAACAAACTCTACAACTATTATAGATATTATTTTGAGAACCACTATTGAAACATGACTGTGATGTATGAGATCTCAATGCTTGACTTCTTCTTTGGCTGTGACAACTGAGGTAACCATGATTGTGATTTATGAGATCTCAATGCTGACTTCTCATTTGGCTATGATAACTGAGGTTATAAGTTAGGCTTCAGCTTTAGCTCCAACTGGTTTAGCTTAGATTCAGTTAGAATCTTGTCATTTGTACTTCAGCATCTTTGGGTGCAAGTGCCTTCAGATGATTTGTAGGAGTTTTGAAGATGATTTCATGGAGTTTTTCATCTTTGGTCTACTATTTGGTTTGGAATTTGGTTCTCTTTTGTTTAGCTATTATTATTATTATTATTATTTATTTATTTATTTTTATTATTATTATTATTATTATTATTATTATTATTATTATTATTATTATTATTATTATTATTATTATTATTATTATTATTATTATTATTATTATTATTATTATTATTATTATTATTATTATTATTATTATGATTGGCTCAATGTATCTCAAGTGTTTGCTTGGTTTGTATTTGATTTGAAGCACTTGTTTGGTTTGTTATTTATTCATTTTGGTTAGTTGGGTATCTCAACTAGGTGGAGTTTTGTTTGAGATTTTGTGTCTTGGTTCAAAGGTTGATTGGGTACTATAGTTGGAAATCTTGCCAAGGTAGAGATTATTTGTTGTTTTTTTTTTTTGGGTCTCATTTGTGATATTGCCCACTTCTGCTCAAGCCGGTCTCACTAAAGGGAGGGGCTTTGATACTGGTTTAATCCACTCTGGCCAAGGACTTAGATATAGTTTCTCTCATATTTTGTATTGTGAAGCGTAACTTCAGTTTAGTGAGGGATTCAAAAAACTTGCATTTGAGTTTCATTATTTAGTTATTTGTGAGAATTTGCTTCATTACCACTGTAATTCTTCATAGAGCAATCGTTCTCTTTGTTAGTGAAATCTTCTTTCTTTTGTTTGTGATTGTAGCCTTAGCCTAAACCTTGTAAATCTTAATTTCATGAGTTTGTGATTGTCCCTTTCAACCACACAAAAAATAATAATAAAAATATATAAAAAAAGTCCCTTTCGTTCTTATTGGTTTTTTTTTATATTAGTTTTTTGGTTCTCCATATTCATAACTATCATTAATCTTGATGGTTGAGTGTTTTTAGAGTGTCTGCACAAGAAGAACTTTCTCAAGTTGTGGGTTTTTGGGACAAGCTTCAATTTAAAGCCAATTAAGAAACATATTTGTTTCACTAAGCTTGTTTTGCTTTGCTTTTGATGTGGATCTTGCTGTCGTTGGGGAAAAAGACATTTCCATCACCCGGATTTGGTTACACATCAAACTCAATTTGAGTTTGAAAATGGTGATTTCTAGAAAAGAGAAGAAGCTGCTAGAGAATTCCAAGTTGAAGAAGCGGAGTTCAGAATGATGTAGAAGAGAAGATGAAACTTCATGGAAGTTGCCATGGTCAGAACCTTAAGGAAGAAGAGATACTGTAGCACATTGATTGTACACGGTTTGGGAAATCTATAAATAGATGTATTGTTAGATTGTTTTAGATAGAGTGGGAGAAAAATGCAAATTCTAGAGAGAAACATAACATCTCCACATAAGGAGAATTTTAAGAGAGCTGTGAGAATTTGTCAGTTTACAGTGAGATAATTCTGTTTTGTATAATTTGTTTGTGATTGAATAAAAGTAGTGTTTAGCAAGTTAATTACTCTCTTTGTATATCTACACAATCGGTATATACCGATCTCCCACTTTTTATCAGGATTCAATTTAGCCATATCTAGCCATTTGCTTATTCTTTTTTATTTATTTATTATTTATTATTTTTATTTTATTGATGTACTCCAAACTTCAGTATAAGACTCTTAAAAATACATCAATACAGAATGAGGTAGGTGCAAAGCCACCACTTAGCAAGCAAATTATATGCAAACATCAACCTAACAACAAGGACAATACTAAAACAAACAAGAGACACATAACATGTAAGAGAAAGAAAAGAGAGGAATGCACAGAGACACACTGCATAAAGACGCCACCAAATGCCACCGTGATACGTGCCAATAAGACCACCAAAAGCCTTTGCTTATGCTTAAAAAATATTGTTAATGACAACACAAAAAGGAATGACATGTTTATAATGTAATCATATCTTATTGTTATTGTTCTAAATTAAGCATTCTTTCAATCCACAATTAATTATCCGATCTATTGAATCATGTGATATTATAGTTAAAAATCATGGATAGTGGAACTTTCTCAACCTTCATAATGGTGTTTTCTACCCACAGAGTTTTAACTTATTCAAAGACATTCTTGGATTGGTGATTAATCCTACAATTGTCACAATCTCAATAGGGTGACAAATGCAAGATTCCAAAACATTGTTGTTGTTATTTTTTTATTTTTTATGTTTAAAGTTTAGTTGCACAGAATATTGCACAAGAGAGACTAAGGGTGAGCCGCACATACTCGTCTCTCTTCTGTGATTGGTTCTGTGAAAAAATTGTGTGCAAGTTGTGCAATTGATACATTAATAGTGAAATATTTTAGCATATATGTACCTTCTTCTTTACTGGACATCCGGGAGCCATTGAACACTTGAAATAAGCTCGAGGGGAAGGATTATCTTTAGTAAATTTCTGGCCATACTTTCTCCAATGAAACCCATCTTTCACTATCTAATAAGATCACAATTAACAAAGAATATAAAGTACACTGACAATTGACAAACCAAGTATATTCTATTCATCATGAACAACAATTATTTTAATTTTTTTGTTAAATTTATTCATTTAGTATTATTATTATTATTATTTACTTATGGACTTACTAAGCTCTTTTCACTTGGTTTGGCTCTCACAAAAACCTGTGATGTCTTGACCACTGGATCTGCGGTCACCATCTTGTTTGAGCCAATGCCCCCATGGTCAAGGCTGTTGGTAGTTATTGCACCGCTCATCCGTTCTTCCGTCTTCCTCTGGACGTGTTCTTGAAGGATGTTGTATCGGTCACTGATAACCTCTATCATCATTTTAAGATTCTCATTTTCTCTGCTTAAGCTTTCCAGTTGCAATTTTAGATTTTCCACCTAAGAAAAACAAAATTCGATGATGATTTTTTTTATAGGGCAAAAAAATGAATAATTAGAAATTTAATAGTACAACGAGATGATAAGGATTAAGAAAAGCATTAGAGCCATGAGGAGAGCATCCCAAATCCCCAACTAGCCTGATTTGTTCAGTGGATTGAATGGTAGCAACAATTAATATATTCTGAAAAACAAAAAAAAAAAGAAATTGAATTTTGGTTTTGTTTATCATATAGACCTTTGTCCCTTGCAAAAAATCATAATGAAGTTGTTTCAAAGCATAACAAAATAACTATTGACCTTTTTTATCAGGATTTTTTATTTTTTATTGATGTATTAAGTAATCATCCAGATTGCATCAATAAGGCTAAGGAAAAATATTAAGTTTTATGAATGATGGCAGAGATGCAGAATTTAATAAAATATATATTTTTTAATTTTTAGATAGTAATAAAATAAATTTGAAAAGGAGAAATTTGTATTACCTTTTCTTTATGAGAAATGTATTGATGACCATCCATGGTTTGGAGTTGATAACCAAATTCAGATGATATATATAATATACATGAATGAGAATGAGTTTTTTCTTATAGGTAGAGAGATAGATATGCTGCAAGACTGATCCAAACCCCTTTTGTTCACAATTGGGTGGCCTCTCTCTCTCTTTCTCTCTCTCTCTCTCTACACTAAGAATCAGTGGGGGAGACTGGAGATAAATGAGAGTCTTGGTCTTAGTAATTATTTATTACTTTTTGGGTCTCCCAATCAAGTACATGGGGTGTTTCTCATACGAAGTCAATTTATTATTTTAATTTTTAAATTAAGTCTAATTTGAACAGAATTTTTAAATTAGGGTAAAGTGCTATTACAAATTACGTTTTCACTGTTTGGGGCCGAAAATTTGATAAACAGTGAAAGTGCTATTAGAAACTACACTTTTAATTAAGAAAGCGTAGTTTCAAACCACGCATTTAACATAATTTTTTTTTTTTAAGAAAACGTGGTTCCAAACCACACTTTCACTGTGCATGTCGTTTAATTTGTTTTCTGAAAAAAGCGTGGTTTAGAACCACGCTTTCACTGTGCATGTTCATTTTCTGAAGAAAACGTGATTGTGAATCACGCTTTCATTGTTCACTAAAGAAGCATAGACTGAAACCACGCTTTCACTGTTCACTACAACAAGCGTGGATTAAAACCACGCTTTCACTGTTCATTTAAATTTTTTTTATTATTTTTTTTGTTAATTTTTTTTTTAAATTTTTTTTCCTGTTGTCATTGTTTTGGTGATAATGTAATTCATTAATTTTTTTTTTCTTTTGTCTTTGTTTTGGGTTAGAAGTTGTAATTCAAAATTTTTTTTTTGTCTTTACTAAAGCCGATTTCATGTATTTTTTTTTTTTTTTGTTTTGGGTTAGAAGGTGATAATGTAATTCATAAATTTTTTTTGGTTTTACTAAAGCCGTTTTCATGTAAATTTTTTTTGTTTTTTGTTTTGTCTTTGTTTTGGATTAGAAGGTGATAATGTAATTTCAGAAATTTATTTTGGCTTTACTAAAGTCATTTTCATTTAAATATATATATATATATATATATTATTTTGTCTTTATTTTGGGTTAGAAGGTGATAATATAATTCAGAAAACCAATTTAGTAAAACCGTTTTTTAGCCGTTTTCATTGAAAAAAAAAAAATTTTCCGTTTGTCAATGAATAATGGTTACATTATTGGGTTCTCACGATTGAGAAGATAAACAAGTTAAGAGAATGTGTATTTCTCCTAAAATAATTTTTGTCAACATTTTTGTAATAAAACTTAATATATAATATATGAAGTCACTAATTTACTATATACTCATACAGACATGAAAACAATATAACTAAAGCTGCAAGTGCACCAAGTCACATGACTTGACAATCCATCTGCATATACGGACAAAATAAGGTTTATTCAATTGGTAGTGTAGTTTTTTGTAAGAATGAGAACGTTATTTGTTATATTCAATGAATAATGGTTACATTATTGGGTTCTCACGATTGAGAAGATGAACAAGTTAAGAGAA